TGAGCTTGAACAATTCTGTAAGGAGGAATGGGCAAATATCCCTCCCTCTAGGTGTGCAAAGTTGGTAGAGATGTATCCAAACAGACTCAAGGCTGTAATTCAAGCAAAAGGTGTTCTCTTATCCAACCAAGTTATTCTACTTTTTTATTGTTATTTTTTCAGAAATGTTGCTTTCTTTTTTCACTTGGATGCTGCAAGGTACAATTTGTAAATAAAACCGGAAAAAGTCTTCTTTTGGGCTTTAGGGGAACAAAAGGTGAACATTTTGAAAAGGACTGGTGACTTTCTATACCCACTGTAGCATTGATCTTTATTTTCTAGAATTTAATTAGGGGAAGACGTTTCTAGTTTTCCAACAGTTTTCTTAATATTATGAAGCATTATTTAAATGAGGGGATACTTAAATCAAACTTACCTAGTGTAGAATCGATAAGAAGAAACAATGGTGATAATAAGCAATACACAAAGAACTGGGATTCCCACCTTCAGTATGTCAGGAACAGTCATAGCTGGACAACATAATAAAGTTATATAACAGTTAACAGAGAAATCAGAAAAGTGGTTTCTAATTTACTGTGTAATATTTCTACCAAATGTTTAAGTATGCAGCTTTGAAAATTACCTGTTGGTAGAATGCTTTTAGAAAAATAAAACTTCTAGAACTATGTGTGTCAGTTTCTAGTTTCTGAGACAAATCTATATACTGGCAGGTTACTTTACATATAGCTAGAATAATTTATTTTTTATAGTTAATAAGCATTTTAGTCTAGATTTATCTCATACATTTATAGTTATATAGTATATGTGTTTTACAGAGGTGTGACAGGAGCAAGTTTAAAAATACAGAAAACTCCTACAAATACTTGTACTATTCTAGATGGATAGATACTTTATTGATCCCATGAGGGAAATTGCAGTGCAACAGCAGCTTAGCACAGTCAACACAGCACAATGTAATGAAATAATACAACAATACAATACATACAATAGCATCAGTACAGTCAGTAAGAAGTGCACTTAAAAAAAGTTGCTCACAGTACAGAATATACAAAAAACAGTACGGAACAGTACACAAAAAGTTGTATTGCACATTCTAAATATAAAAATACATTGCCCAAAAAACAGTTGTAAACAGGAAAAACCAGATGTAAGCAGAGAGTTTAATGTTTAGTCCAAATACAGGTCAATGTCAGTGTTGCCCCTGCCCAGACACACAATGGATTCTATTATAATTTGGACATAATGAGGTAAGTCCTGAAGCTCAGACAACTCAGGAGAAGTACGGGGCATTACTTTAAGAGTAATAAGTAAAGGCGTAAGAAGTAAGACCTTCTAATACAGGTTGAAAAAGTCTCTGAAATCTAAACTTTTAAACTTTTAGACTTTTAAATATACTGAAATAAAGAAATGGAACAACTCCAGTAGAAATGGAACAACTCAAGAGCTAGAATGCCCTGGCTTTCCTTCTAAAACTGTTTTTAACTACGCTAACTGTATGGATAAGAATCAGGAACTGGTTTCACCACACAGGCTTACAATGGCAGACTCTCAGACAGGTTTTTTAATGCAGTTTATATATATGACTCACAGTTGTGCCACTCCAGCTCCTGACTCCAGTCACTGAACTGTGTTTGGTAGTTGCTTGAGTATGACCTCACTTTCACAACATAATCACGCCCAGGGTTCAGGCTGCTCTTTAAAATCTCATAGAAGAAATCGCTGACATTTAATACTGTTGCAACCTGTTTTGGAAGAAGAATAATAATTGTTTGATCTTATTTACTATGAGTATCCACACACTATGAATGTTTTTATAATGTATTTTGATTAATAAGTACAAGAATCATTAACAGACATCATATACAACTTTGTTAGGTGTTAACATCCATTGTCAAAAAGCTGCTCAATTCCACCAAGTGATTGACAGACCAGGCCTACAGTATATTGGAATAACACAGATCTGCTTCCTGAGTGAGATCACAAAACACACATGGAAGGGAATGAACCAGAACACCTGAAAATCTGCAAAAAGGATGAATGTGCAAACTCCACAAACCTGCACTCAAACCCAAAAACTGAGGTAGTAGCAGCCACTTCACATGCACCGTGTTAGGTACTGATTACTGTTATTCCCTAATTATTAAGTATTATTTGCCTTTAATAGACCTGGTGCACCTCTACTAAAAACAATGCTATCTTTGTCCAATAAAGCTATAGTACTTGTTTTTTAAAATAATTTAGCACTCACTTACTTCATCTCCCTTCTCTTTTATCCCGTAGCTCAGCTGAAAATTCAGGCTATCATATAAGAAGCTTTCATTAGAGTAATTATTTTCCCAGGTGACTCGGAAATTTCCATTCTCTCCATGTTTCACATTCAGTATATGGGGAGCTCTTGGTTTGACTACAGTGAACAGAAAGCAGGTCTTAATTTAGTTGATATTTAAGGTCTGGAGATCAATAAACATACCTCTGCTTTACTGATATTGTATTTCTATCATGAACTTCCTCAATTGAAAATCATACTGTAAAGTGTATTTTTTTAAATGCCCATATGCACTCTGTTATATAGCAAAACAATAAACACTTATAAATCAGTAAAGTGAGTTTGTGTCTTTTGATACTACACACAACTTCCATTAATTATCTCATTAAAGTGTGTATACACATTGTTTTTGTTGGAATCTACACTGGTATTTTAGTGCTCTTTATCATGTCTTTTGTCATTGTGAATTAAAAATTATAGTGATAGACTTGTCATAACAGGTGCAAAATGTATCAGTTTCTGCTGACACTATGCAGATAAAGACATTTTATCTGTGAAACTAAGCTGTAAGTTAATACAATTAAAGAAATATTTTATTATATTAATTATTTTGCTGTCATTTAAATGATACTTTCATATAGCCAAAGATACCAGACATTTACACACTAAACAGAAACATATGTTTTTATTTCACAAATGTATACTACTAGCAATTTTTTAATAATATTTTAAACTACAAGAATACATTAATTCCATTCAGGCTGTGTTCATACTTACTGTTGTTGCAGGGAATTATATTCTTCAAGTGTGAACTTATTTTCCCAGTCAATAGGTATACCGTATAATTGTCATTATAAACAAATCGTGGCATCTGAGTTTTGCACCAACAATGTGTTTTTAAGGAGCTGAAGTCTGCATTTTTATACACCAGAGTGCATGTATAGTTTCTGAAAACAGAAGTTTAAACATTATTCATTGAATTAATGAAATATCATGTATCATATCACATATCACTTAAGAGCTTTTATTAGAATAAGTTCATTAAAATTACCTAAAATTAAGTTATACATGTACTTTGTTCTTTACTAATCATTAAAAAAGAAAACAGAGGTAAAAACACAGGATGGATTGGTGTTATTATATTTTTTATTTATATACTCTATGCCTTTACTTATTAACAGTAAAGGACACAAAAAGAGTTCTTTAAAAAAAAACATTCATTTACTTTTCAGAATTAGTTCCTGAAAAAACTAAAGCAGAACTATTGTTACAGTCCTCAGGCCCTTCTGCGTCGATCTCACAAATCATTGTTGTCTCATAGTCATTGTGACACTTCAGGCTCTCTGTATCCAGTTCAGCTAAAAGGACAGACAACAAAATATGAGACACAGATTCAACAAATGTCTTCTGTAAATCATAGGTTAAGGAGTTAAATACAACACATGAATGAAGAGATGCATATAAATTAGATAATCACTTATCTTGTGCTACAGGCAAATCAGTCAAATACATTAAATTGTTTCTTTCAGCTGTGTAAATCCTTGATAACACATTTTAGTCAAACGATTAAATGGTTTCATTTAAATCAAACCAAACATAGAAATATAGGGACACTACATTTTTGTTCTGAATTCTTAAGTGAACACATAATTGAAAAAAAAAACTGGCTTCAGTCACACAGTTTATACTGTACAGTACCCCCACTTCTTTCAAATTTCAAAGTAATTGAAAACAACAATACCTAACACAGACAAAAACTAATGTGTACATAAACATGGTTAGCTCATCTGCTGGTTAATAAGTACAGATTTGGCACTCTTCTAGGAAATGTGTTTACTAGCATTATATAGTAATTCAATAGAATGAAAGTTGACTTGCTTCTGGAGACATAAAGATTTTAGAAAATTACCATATCAAACACTCATCCTAATATACTGTAGGTTAAAACAACCCTATGCAGTACAGTAAACATGTACCACACCTCAGATAAAATGCATGCAGAATCATGCATTATTCTGGGGAAACCCAACATGTCCGTGTACAATTGTCCACGGATGATTGTCTTTGTTGATTCATTGTTGTAGTGTTAACCACAAAAGTATTAACCAACTGAAACCGTAACACATACAAAACAGGCTCAATCTCCCGAAGTTTAGAAGAAATACAAAAGGTAATGAAGCAAACTATTACCACATTGAATCCACTAGTTTCTTACCATGACATGGTCAACACATCACTACACATCCAATTTTTTACATCACGCTTTATTTAAAAATCAAATCCTCTTACCATGAACCAGGCTGTATGTGAGCTGAATCAAAATCGCTAAAACCATATAATTCATGTTTGCAGAGTAGGTTACAATTTCACAAGGGAAAGCCGCACAAATGTTATTTCCAGAAGTCTACAAAATAAAAAAACAAGTTAAAATGGATAATTATTTAACGAACCACCAATAATATGTACCCCTACTGTATAAACATGTCTTCATTTTGAGCTACAGTTTTATGTTTTTTTTTCGATGTTGCTTAACCGAATATTCAGTTTAAACGAGTGCAGTTCTGTGGGAACCTCTGAGTCTTGGAAATTACGAAACTAAATATGACGTGTCTAAAATTGTTCGATAGTTGTCTAATATGATTAAACATTCTCTCTCTGTGTAACCTATATACTGTATATATATTAAAGAAAATATGAATAGAAGAAAAATATTATTTTGTTCTTTAATTTTTTTAACACAAATGTAATTACTGACTCCATACTACGCACATACTTTCGAAAGCATTTTTTCTTGGAATATTTCCTTGTACTTCACAGACCAGTCTCCGTCGATGTGTCATAAACAGAAAAGTACGGTTTAAACTTGAAAGGTAATATTGCCAGAGCTCTTAAATAGACCTTTACCTTGTTAAAATCTTCCGATTAGTATAAAGTAAAACTTCTCAAGTCGCAATCTTCTGAAAATAGGCACATCTTAAAACATTAAGAATATGAATAAGCATTTCCACAAATAATGTTCATAACTGAGTTAGCATTGGTCACATTCTCCAAAGCCGTCTCCTACAAAATTACAGCTGTTTCTTAGGTTTTCAGGTCCTTCACTCTTTGAGAGCGCCACCAAAAGAATATACTGTGTGACTAAAGAGGAACTGGCTTAATCAGTACACAAAAAGACGCATTTACGGTCCACCCAAATGCCAGGAACCAGTGAACGATCTCCAGTATATCCGCTTCAGTATGACACTCAACGGGAGAGAATTCTGGAGGTGGGGATTACGGATCAAAGTTTTGGTTTTTACAATTTGCATTTACAACTAAACGCAGATCTTTTTAGGGCAATAGTATTCTTAACTAGAAAGTAAACCAAACCTAATTCCATCACTCTCTTTTTCTTTGAACAATGCAATCGTTTAAATGTGATCTTAGGTTGAATTGCTGTTTTGTTCTTACACAAAACCAGAGTGCTTCTCATACCATTTGACATTTGTTTTTAGGTTTGTTTTCGATTAATGAATAATTTCGAATTACAAAATGCATTGTACTGTTAATTTTGTGCGTTATTTCTTTTGACAATGTCTTTATTCACACACAGCTGATATACTGTATTTGTCGTAAATTTGAATAGCAAATACAGCTTGCTTTACGACCTCACTGTACAGTATATATTCACTTCAGCGCTATATGAAGCAGGTGGCCAGATCAAACAATCTACAAATAACCATAGATACCAAATAGATATTTGCATAATTTCAGATTATATTTTTGACCGACATCGACCTGTGAAAGACGTTATTGTACCGGTAGCAAACTTAATTTCATTAGGACTTTGTTAAACAGAAATTGAATAAGATAAAAGCAACCAGCAATCATCAATGTATTTTAAGTTTTAGTGTGCACCTGGTGCCGTCAGAGATTGATAACAGTATATAAAAAAACTGCGCAGCGTTAAATATTAATAGTTCAGGTGGGTACTGTACTAAGGCGTTAAACATTTAATGCCTTAGTACAGTAATTTTGCACATTATCACTGAAAAATGTGACGGAGTTATGATGATAGAGAAAGGGTCAGATTGAAAAATAAAGGCTGATGACACGACTTATACAGTATCTACCTGTTTCAGAGTACAGCTCTTCGGCTTTCTTTAAAACTCTTACTACTGTATCTTTATAAATCAGAAGGTAGGATATAAAAAAAATATCATTTTAGGATAAAGGAATATAGCACTTCATTCAGTGCTGACCATGGTTTGCAATGAACATATGAATTATTCATAATAAAAATATAAATATCAAATTAATAACACAATATAGATAATATATTATATAATATATAATTAATACACAACAAGGTTGTCAGTTGTTCATTGTGTTAAAATTGAAGAATAAATTTCACTAAAAAGTTTTCAGAGGAATCTGGTTACATTTTGGTGAATTTAAAAATTATTATTTTATTATTATTATCATTATATTTCCATATATATTATTGAGCCACTACTTCCGAGTTCTAGACAGTATTTATAAACTCACTGCTTATTAACTGATTTTTTGTTAACTGATGGTTATGTATGATTAAACCTTATTTCAACATATGTTTACAATGTCAATAAAAGTTTTAACGTATAATACAAACTACAGTGAGTGATATAATAATAATAATAATAATAATAATAATAATAATAATAATAAAACTCAGTAGCCAAAAACAGGTTTTGCCCAAGGTGAAGCCAACAACAAAAGAACATAAGAACATTTATAAATAAGAGGAGGCTATTAAGCTCCTGTGGTTGCTAGTTACTATTTGATTGTAGAATCTTATCCAGCCTTTTTTTAAATGAAAGCTTCATTTAGCTTGTTCCAGGCCCCTACCACCTGTTTTGTTAAGGAATGTTTCCTGTTTTCAGTTTTAAAAAGCACTTCTCCATAGTTTTCTCTTGTGATGTCTGAAATGATGTCTGACTGTCACTGATGTAGGATTTTGAATTCTTGAATCAGGTCCCCTCATAGTCTTTCCTGTTCACAACTTAAATGGTTCAAAACCTTGTCACTTGCTTTGGTTTGAATCCAGAGGATTAAAATCTTCTTTTGATGATAATAACATGCCATAATAAAGTATCCATCCATCAGGGCAAACACTTAGGGCCAATTATCACAGAAGCCACTTAACCTATCCTTAACCTGTCCTTGGACTGTGGGAGGAAACCCATGCAAACATTGGGAGAACATAGAAACTCCTCACAGATAGCACCCAGGGCCCCAGCACTGCAATGCAGCAATGTTAACCACTGCACCACCATGCTATCCACATAAAGAATCATTTTATACTAAAGTATCTAGTATTGTATGTTTGACTGGAGCTCCTCAATAGGTTAAAGGAATCGGGTGAATGAGCACTTCTTATATATTTGTTCTTTGCGAGATTTTAACTGAGCATCCAATAAGAATGTTAAAAAGTAATCAATTTTAACAGCAGAACACACCCATAGGTCGAACAAGGCCATTGCAGATGTAAATGTAATATTCATCCGTTTTTTCAACATAGTAATCGCTTTGTCACCCCCGGAAAAAGAGTCAATATCCACCTTGTATGATGCCCCCTCAAACAGTTCGTAGTGTCTCTGGAAGCTTATACAGTAGAAGCCTGATTTAAATAAAAGCTAAACAATCACTGATTGTTGTACAATATTGTTATAAGCATCAAATAAATAGCTTATTTTAACTCTCTACTAATTCGCTTTTTAAACTAACCTGTTAATCAAATTACATATGTACATGTGCAGTATATACTGTGCCTGATATATCATGCACTTCATAAACTTAACTGGAACAATGAGTTGCATTAGCACAGTTCTGCACAGCTTTAACAGAGCCTTACAGTACTGCGAGTCGTCCAGGTTTCAGTTTTGCTTTACTGAAATGTAGGCAGTGGGGAAACCAGCATTCACAACCTATCGTTGTATTTCTGGTGTTTACTACATTCTGTTTTCGTTGTGTTTTATTTTTCTATTTTCAAGTGTTGATATTTTATGCTGTTTATTTGTACAGCGCTTTAGGTTCTTGTAAACAGGAAAGTCGCACTATACGTTCGGTCATACGCAGTGAAATACTCTCCCCTAAAGAAAGTTGCAACATACAGCTAATAGAGCTGCAAGGGATGCCACTTTTATTTTCCTGACACACTAAACCGGTGTGTGCAGTCCTGCGAGGACTCACAAGCCGCGACCCAGTGTCTCGAACTGCGGTTTCGCCACCAATGAACCGGAACTGGGGACCAATCGGACTGCGCATGTTCGTGTTTGGGTACAGCCGGTAATTTCGTCCGGGTGAGAAGGAGCTGTGCTCTTGCTAGTAGCGTGAAGCTAGTTACACTAAGCGACACGAATGATCCGGAAGTGTATGTAAATAGCCGAATTTCAATCAAAATAAAAGTTATTCAGCTACCACAGGAGCGTATGAGGAGTATACTGTAGCAACATTAAGCGAAGTGACAAGCAGCTGAAACTTCTGCTTTGTTATTTCTTCGTGGTTAAATGTAATTCCTTGAACATTCCGCCAAAATTTGAGAGGGTCCTTTTTAATTTTAAATCGCCTCCACTAATCTCCAATTCGACAAATCTAAGATTATTGGAAGTTTTTATTAATTTTACAGCACATTTCTTCCATTTATACTACTGTAAAAATTGTCATTGCTATATTTTTTCATATAAATGTTTTTTGTCTGTTCAATGCAAAAGGTTTTAAGATGGAAGCTTTTAAAGGAGCTGTATCTGAAATTTCTAATTAAATCAAATCCTTTATTATATTTTAATTCAATCAGTTTTTTAAACTATAACCAGGGACAAAAACATATTTTTTGCACCATCAAAAGTGGTGTAACATACAGTTTTAAGACAGTCAGCCAATAGTAAATCACCCTTCTTCATTCAGTTTTAAGTCTTTATTAATATTGTTGGTCTGGGTGGATCACCTCTGGAAAAAGTTGTGATTCTCAAAAGGTGGATGGAATCTATTGCATAGACCCTCAGCTAATAGAAAATCACCTTGTTTTTGTCAGATAAATGTCTGTGTCAAAACTGCTGGGGTTTATAGAGCACCTCCCATTCCCAGACTTGGACAATGCAGTGATGGTGCAGGGAGAGGTCTAACTCTCCTCCCGACCAAACAACAATTTGTGCCTCTTCAAAAATACCTCAGATCTATTCTACAGACCCTTGGCTAAAAGAAAATAACTGTGTTTTTTTTTCAGATAAGTGTCTTTGCTAATGTTGCTGGGGTTGATAAGACCACCTGCTGTTCCCAGACTGGGATCGTGCAGTGATGGACAGGGAGTGGTCTCACTCCCCTCCCGAACAAAACAAAATTTGTGCCTCTTCAAAAATACCTCAGATCTACTCTAAAGACTAACAGCTAATAGTACATAACCATGGATTTGTCAGAAAGTGTCTTTGCTTATCAACCAGGTGGATGCTGCACATTGGTGGTGGTGGAGCCATTACAGTAAAGCGCTTTGAGTGGAGTGTCCAGAAAAAGCGCTATATAAGTGTAAGCAATTCTTATTATTATAATTATTTGCTAAAGTTGCTGGGGTTTATAGGACCGCTTGCTGTTTCCAGACTGGGACTGTGCAGTGTTGGACAGGGAAAAGTGTAAACAACAGCCGTGATCCCAACCAAAGTAATGCTGACACTAAAGATCATAGTATTGTGACCAAAACCATAGATGTGACACGGAGTAACCATTCTTAGACATAGAGTGGATGACTGGCAGTGTTTTGAAAAGGCAAAAACCATAATGCATCTGTAAATTACCCATCAGCCAAAAAAAAACCAAAGGTGGGGTGCGATGCTTGCTAAATGAGGGTTTTAACTTTTAATTTCTGTGCAGAATTTATATGTCCAAAGGACAATAGGCCATACAGCTAAAGCAGCGTTTGAATGCTGTCTGAGTAGTTCTACACTCAAAATAATAAAAGCTGATCTGATTTAAGAGAAAGTCTAGTGTTTTGATGCAGAACACCTGCAATGCATCTTTACTTCCCAGTCTATCGGAACTCATGGGGGGAATCAATTATCAACTGGTACTTGGGCAACATGTGAGCCATCGTTTCCACATTACCGGGTCAAATCAAAAAGGCTCCATGCCATGTCTTTGGCAGAGCCACCTTCCCAGGAAAGACACATCACCATTGAAGGTCTATTCAATATTTTGGCTGTTTCGATACACTTTAATAAGAAAGTGTGAAATCGACACTTTATTTCAACCCAGAAAGGAAGATCCACTGGTGAAGTGTTAACAATGCCCACATTGCGATAACATGCCCTTCGAAACAAATCTAGTATCGGCCACTAAAAGGCCCCTATAAACCCCAGCAACATTGGCAAAGGACGCTCATCTGGCAAAACCATGGTGATGTACTATTAACTGAGGATCTGTAGAACAGATCTGAGTCACTTTTGGAGAGGCACAAATGTTGCACATCGCTACACAGTCCCAGTCTGGGAATGGGAGGTGCTCTATAAACCCCAGCAGTTTTGACAGAAATGCTAATCTGAGAAAACCATGGTGATTTTCTATTAGCCGAGTGTCGGTAGAATAGATTTGAGGTGCTTTTGAAGAGGCACAAATTTTGGTTTGGTTGGGAGGGGAGTGAGACCACTCCCTGTCCACCACTGCACCATCCCAGTCTGGGAACAGCAGGTGGTCTTCTAAACCCCAGCAACTTTAGCAAAGACACTTATAATGACTTATGCATGATCCATGGTTATGCACTATTAGCTGAGGGTCTATAGAGTAGATTTGAGGTATTTTTGGAGAGACACAAATGTTTGTTTGGTCAGGAAGGGAGTGAGACCGCTCCCTGCCCATCACTGCATGGGCCCAGTCTAGGAATGGGAGGTGGTCTATAAACCCCAGCAGTTTTGATAGAGACACTTATCTGAGAAAACAATGGTGATTTTCTATTAGCTGTGGGTCTGTAGAATAGATTTTAACTACTTTTGGAGAGGCACATTTTTTTTTGTCAGGAATGATACTTTTTCCTGTCTAGCAGTGCACAGCTCTATGTCAATTTGCAAGGAGGAAGTGATATAAAAACACCAATAAGATTGCAAAAAATTAATGAAGAATGGCAATTTTATATTATTTGTGGGTCTATTTATCACATTTCACATAGTTTTGAGGATGAACAAACTGTTGTTGTGCTATAAATGTGACTTTAACTGGTACAGGATTATTTTATATGAGCCAGGTTTTAGGAGACTTTTATTTTGAAAGGTGCTGCCAAGCCAGAGTCGTTTATTGTAGCTAGCTTCACGCTATTGCTCTTTTGAGTTTACTGGTCTCTTCCAGTGTATCTCCAGAGCGTCTTAACCTGCAGGAACAGGTCACATTGATACGGTTCGGCTCTTTGGAGTATGTAATTTTACTGACTTGTACAAACTACTATTGAGGAGAGTGATTTGCGTACTGTCTGTTGTAGAGGATAGACTGAAACTACTTATTTTGTCGTTTTAAAGTCTGTAGGCAAACGGTAAGACGTGTTATGTAAAGGTTACGTGACTAAACCACTTATTTTTAAGGAAGCGAAAATCATTTTCATCTGGTTTCTCATGTGATGTATGTGCGCATTGTCCAATCACGACTCTCTCTGCTTGACATTTGCCAGTGGCAATAGTAGTAGTTCGGAGGAATGTGGATTGCGGTGCGGTCTGAAAAAGTCATATTTGAACACATAACTGAACTATAGTAAAGCTATAATCGTACGTGTAACTTCGACAGTACTTGTATTTTACCGTGGAATATTTTATTGAAAAGATGTGTGAAAAGCACAAGGAAACTATATAAATTGCCAATATAAGGAAATGCAATGCGTAATTAAAATACCAAGGCCCCAGTAACACGCTATAACTGGTATTGAAATATTTGTGCTTTCCTTTTAATTCAGACTTTATTAGGTTATTATTTTATCAAATACATTTTATATTACTATTTGCAAGGACTGTAATAATATAAAAAAGTGTTTGTAAATGGTTCTAACTGAATATTATTGTTATAGCTGAATATTATGCCTTGTAACACTGCAGTATTTCATTGTGTAAAGTAAATTAGGTTATCACTTACTGTAGCTGCCTAGCTTTTATTTTATGGCTGATTTCCTGTTCAGCAGGGGATAGTTTATTCCTAACCAAGAGATCGTAGTCATGAAGTTCATATTCTTAAAATGACAAAAATGTTGAGTTATTCTTCCTGTCTAAAAATTACACTCTATGATTCACGTCAACCTTATTTACTGAATAATAATAATATTCCAAAAAAGCTTTCGCACCAACACCGTTTTAGTTCTTATTGTTTGTTTTTTATTGACATGAGAGTTTCTTCACAGGTTTTGTGCTAGCCTTAGTGTTTTTATTAATTTATTTGTATGCATTGTTTCTGCACATATGTTCCCTGTTTTTAATATACAGTGTATATAATTGAATTTAAGCATAAGGTCAGACTAGATAAGGGCATCTTAACAATATTTTGGGTAGTGTGTAATACGTTTTCAGTTCATTAGCAGGCTTTTTTCTGCAGTTGATGGCGTGCTCTTTCTTGTTTTTTGCTAGGGATTTGGGGAAAAAGAACCTAGGCTATGGCCAAGCACATGACGGACAGCCACCGGAGGTTCCTCCAGTCTCTGATGTGCTGTGGGATAATAGAGGGCTCCAAAGCCAGGGCCCTGCACAGGCACTGCTGCGAGGTGCACAGAGGTAAGACAAGAAGATGCCTATTCCTCTTTGCTTCAGCTGTTACCAAGAAATACATTCACACCTTCACTTTCAGTGTGGTGTTTTGAAATATTTCTTGTCCAATATCAAATCTTATTCACTGCATTATGTCACTAGAAAGATGCTTGTATTGACATGCTGTTGAAAAATAACAATACTGTTGTAGGTAGCTGCGTCAGCATGTTTAGGTTGCAAAGGAACAAGTAAAGGTTTATTCCATGCTGGAAAGAGAAAAAAAGCCTCTGTGGAGCCTTCTTTGGGTGTGGGTCTTCTTCTTCACGCACCACAGCTGAAATGTTGTATTTGTTGTTCCTTTACATACTATTGTTTTTATGTTTAATATCATTTGCTACCAAAGCCTAATGAAGTGGTGTTCTTTCATTTTTTAAAGCCACATATGTATGCTTAAATAACCTATAAACCATCAGTCCAAGATCTATTCTGATGTTTCTTGGTTGTTCTGTGTTATGAGTTGATTCTCTAAACTCATTTGAGATCAGTAAGGTTTCCTACTTGAACATGGCTTGCAAAAAAAATACATTTGCTTTTGAATCTCATGCTTTATTGTATCATCATGTGTAAAAGCATGCTACTTGATGATTTCTTTACAATTGTTACTCTTTTTGTTAAAAATCCATTCCTTCATTATTCACACAAGCAATGTATGTTGTTCACAGAATAAACAGACAGCTTAATTAAAAGTAGCAGTGAAAGTTGATCTATTAGATAAATTGACTAATCACAAGTGTGGATAATATAAGAATGTGCATGCTAAAATATTTAGTAAAACACTATTTTCTGTTTTAACATTAAAATATTAATAAAATATGTCTCATTCTCTTATTCCCTGTCAATTTCTTATTGAACAGCGATAAACACCAGAAGCTGGGATAAAAATGTGCAGAATTTCATTAGCAGTACAGTAATCTGTATATTATATGGCATTATACTAAACACAATAAGTACAAACACCAGCACATTTTCAGGTTGTCCATACTTCATTGATCTGGTCAACAGCTTTTATTAAATGCTTAAGGCTGTGTTGCTCAACCTCTGGACCCACTGACCACCACCAGTCTTTGGAACAGTGCTGACTGAGACTTCACAAACTGAGCCATAGAGGCATAGTTATAATGAGTGAATTTAAGACTGTTTCTTTTATAGTTTTGCTTTTATCTTAAGAAGTTGACAAATAAGGAAGAAGAGCTGATCTCTGGCACAAAAAAGGTTGATAAACACTAGTTTAAGGTACCAGAGATGCAGAATAACTCTGACTGTCCAAAATTGACAGTGATGTAGACATTAACTCTTACTGGCTAATACATTAGGAGCACCTACTGAATAATACAGTATATCAGGTTTCCATGGCTGAAAGAATAGTTCAAGTGTGACTGACTTGTCATTTATTTCACAAAGTTTTGAAATATTTGCTACCCAGTCGAATTCCATTGTTCTAACAGGATCACCAAGTAAGGTCTGTGGCACTGAACTGCATTTTATACTGTTTTTACTGACTTTCCACAGGATTAAGATATAAGGATTGTTCTGGCCAGGAAAGGTAAACAAAGTCTGGGTTATTTTTCTGAAGCCACATTGCTGGCCAGTGAGAAAATTCATTTGACTGGGAGTTCCAAATATTTGTATCCAATGAGAGGATACTTTTTCAAAAGAATGCATGTGTATACCAGCATTTGTTTCAAGTTGCTGCCTAGCGGCATTCTTATGTGCAGTTTATTGTTCATAAAATGTTGTAACATTGCATGTGGTATACCTTCTGGTGAAACTGAAAGATCCAATCACTAGTGACAGTAGTGACAGTGTTAAGCATGGTACTAGAATATTCACTCTACATTCAGAGACTGAAGCACCTGTATTTTAAGGGACTATTGTAGATTTAACAAAACATGATAATAGTTATAATATGACTCAGAGCATCAATAGATAATCAGATTTCTCAGGAAATCTGTATCATCTTAGTGGTTCAGAACTAGTTTGTAGTATTTTTTATTTATTTAAAGCCATTATCAGCTACTCACTTTAGCATGGCTGGAACCCACTCCGCTGCCCCCTGGCTCCCCAAGATAGGCCATATCAGCACTACTAAACACCTGCACTGTGAATAATTAGGCTCTTTTCATTAGTGACCTTATTACAGAAAAAAAAATGATTTTCTGTGCTTAACCGAAACCTGGCACAGACAGAATGATGGTCTCCTGTTCAATCTTCTAGTCCCTCAAGGGTATGGGTTGTTTGACCTCCGTAGTCTTTCAGGCAGAGGTAAGATAAGATAAGATCACTTTATTGGCCATATGCAATTTCTTGCATTAGGAATTTGTTTTTTCACATACCCCAATATGCTCTCCATGAGACACACAGATAGGGAGAGAAGTATGGGGTCAGAGCGCAGGGTCACCCATTTATATGGCACCCCGTGAGCAGTTGGGGTTAAGGGCCTTGCTTGGGGGCCCAACGGAGTAGGATTCCTCTGCCAGCTGCAGGATACGAACCGGCAACCTTCCAGCCACAGGCGCAGATCCTTAGCCACAGAGCCACCTGTGGGGGCATTAATGGTATTTATAATCTTCTTTACAGTTTAAGTACTGTTACTGCACCTCTTCTTTCTTCTTTTAAATGTCTCTGTTCCCCACTCTACCTTCATTGCAATGGTATACAGTGCCTTGCGAAAGTATTCGGCCCCCTTGAACTTTTCAACCTTTTGCCACATTTCAGGCTTCAAACATAAAGATATAATTTTTTTATTTTATGTGAAGAATCACCAACAAGTGGGACACAATTGTGAAGTGGAACGAAATCTATTGGA